TCTGTTCCCCTCCATTCTTTTCCTCCCTTTCACATAGAAGATCAAAAATCAGATTGTGAAATAGTGAGTGTTCTTACTGTCATCGATCCTATTGTTACGTAATGATATGGTTTGATATATATTATGCAAAGTCGTATAAAAATCCGGATGTGGTTAGCTATTTGTCTTACTACTTTGCTTAGGCTAATATAAAATTGCAGATGTTTGTGTTCGTGTACGACTCACCCAGGGAGATGTAGCACAGACGAAACAAAGTCGCGTGATCAAAAGTACGTGTAATGCAGTTTACAAAGAAGCAATCATGTTCCTGGTGAAAACAAAATCTGCCGATTTACAGGATACCGGAATCATTATTTCAGTTCATGATTTATCAAGGTTTAAAATTTTATGTCACAAAAATGATACTAACATCGCTGTTTCTGCTTCAGCGAATACTGTATGCATATACTTTTCGCATTTATGCTACACCTGTTCACACTGAACTACTTGCTTCAGCTAGCTGTATTGACAAAATATCCGGTTTTATGTGTTGTGTGCTGTGTAACAACAGCACAAAAAGCATATTGTCATCCCCAGCCTGTGCGTGTGCGTATGTGTATATGTGTTTGTGTATCCGAGTACATTTTTTCCGGAATTTTTAACTCGGGAACCACAAAATCTGGTATTCTGAAGTTCTAAGAGGATATCTTCTGGCCAGGTGTAGCTGTGCAAATTTAAATTCGGGCCTCACTTTCCTCGAGTACCACTTACGACCCCGTGAAAGTTTTGGCGGGAGAAAGTACCCCGGAAACCACAAAGGCTGGGAAGCTGAAACTTCAGGTGAATATCCTCCGCCCAAGTGCACCCCGCAACTGCATTTCCAGCTTTCGTGTGCTCCTGAATCTCAAGTACGGTCCTTTGGAATTTTTGGCGGGAAAAATTACTTCGGGAACCAGAACAGCTAGGAGGCTGAGATTTCGGAATGATGTTTTCTGCCTATGCGGTGATCTTTCAAACTCCAATTTAGCCGCTACGTATGCCTCGGCTACCTGAAAGTTTTTGCGCAAAAATCATCTTCTTTTGTGAATAAATCATTGGATGCCCTATTTGTTTTTCTTTGCAGGACAACAACCGGCGATGACATGATCGGTTCAGCATTTTTGGGTAAGCTTGCAATGGATAAATCGGAGCAGGAGCAGTGGAAGAACACTGTCGAAAATACTGGAAAAGAATTTAAAGGTGTGCACCATCTAAAAGCACCTGCCCAGGCTCCTGATGTTCATGTGACCGAAGCTCCATCTGACTCGGAGTAATCTCTATTTTTTGTTATTCTTTTCCTTGCTTGGTGATTGGGCCAATTTTTAGCCCAGCTAATCGCTTACGGCGAATGTATTGATGCATGAATCTGTGCACTGTTTTTATCACACCAAACATGTTTGTGACTCTGGACAAATGTGGCTCTGACAAACATACTTTGCTTCTACCCAAAACACGTTACAGCTTGCTGAATTAGCAGCTCATGCTCACTTCGATTTGGAAGAAAACTGTTTAGAAAAAGTACATTATGGGGATTAACATTCAAAAAGAGTGCACCATCTTGCGTTTAAAAGAGGCGTTTGTTCCATGTAGCAGGTTTCTCACCCAGCCAACAATACTAAGTGGATTTTTTATTTCGAACCAAGACAACATTTGTTTCGAACCAAACTTGAATTTGCACCTGCTTCAAAACTAAAACCTAGGCAAGTCCACCATTACGAATTTGCTTTCACATTAAGCCAGAATCAGTTTTTGCACTAAGTACCATCAAAACAAACAGCCAATGTTTTTTATCATTTAGTTGCTTCGAATTTCTTGCACGTGCTTCCTTCACAAATTAAAGCACGCACAAAAAAACTGTATCATGTAGGAAATTTTGGATGTTTGTCTAGCAGGTCCTAGTTTTAAATCAAATGCTGATGAAAATATAAGAGCCGATTTTCGTTTTTTATTCGCATTTCTATTATTTATACTTCAACCGTTTCAAATACCCAGTTAGCTTTTCAAGACGGTAATTAGCGGAGCTACGATACCTGCGCAACTGTAGTATTATGCTTGTCGTACTTTGATGATCTTGTAGTTCAGTGAGAGAGCGCCGCTAGTGCTGAAAGTCGAGGTTTTTGACCGCGATAATGGGATAACCAGTCCGTCTACTATCTTTTCATTCGTTTCGGTAGTAGTAGATTGGTATTCGTGCATACCATGATCAATTTTTTCCCAAACAACTCACAAAAGAGAACTATCAAAA